GCATTCATTTGTGTGATGAGCACGAATGTATATATGAATGTGTACTCCAGTCATGTATGTTTATATTTATAATATATATGTATTTTAAAGTTATATACGTATAGTGTATCAAATATCTGGTATCCGTAATACAGGCCTCGTAGCTTACCATGGATCTAGATAGTGCTGTGTGTTAATGTCCCAATATATTTATTTATTTATTAAACCTACGCTATTTTGGGAAACCCTAGGTGAGATGGTGACCATATCTCAATTATCGACCGTATTATATTGACTATGCCAAGGTCGCAGCGCTGTCTGGCGTCAGGTCGCATGTCAACACACTGTGTACTCCTCATTACCCCGCCTTACGCGTATTTGTTCACGTCCAGACTCATTTAGGAAATATGGTCTGTTACCAATTTTGTTTTTGGTATTTTTGCTCACAAATAAAACAGATATAACATAACATAAAGATTTTTGAACTAACATTTTCTTTTGTATATTTTACGTATGTTACGTATTCGTACGTATTTTTTAACTTATCCACACTGATATTATAAATGTAAAAGCAACTGTGTACCTATGTTACGCGTAAACTGCTGAAGAGATCTCGATAGCCTATCTATCTTTGATCCCGGTACGATTTATCGCGCTAATGAAACTGCGGGTGAAAACTAGTACCTACCAAATAAAAATGGTCGTACTTAGTATTTAATATTTATATGTATTTTCGAAAATAAAGCTATAAATGGAAAAAGTGAAAAATAGAGTGAAATTGCATGTCTGACCGAACCTAGCTGTTTTCGAATGAAAATGAATTGAAAGAAATGCTCAGTCCGTCAACCCGGACTTGGTGGACAGCGTTGTGGACTATGATCTGATCCCCCTCGTATTAAAGGTACGTGACCAGCCGTGGCACGTTAAAAAGGGTTGTATAAGCTAACAAAACTAAGCTAAAAAAATAAGCTAACATATTATACAAATGTAAAATGACATTTTTCATTTGTAAAAGTATATATTAATAGTGTTGCTTAGTAAGTTGTTTTTAAATAATAGCAAATAAAATTAAAATTATTATCCATAATTAATTTTAACTTTTTAAATTACACATAGAACATTATTATATGGCTTAAATAATTAATATTATATTTTATTTTTTTTCTTTATGGTTATAAATATAATAATGGCAACACTAAAGATTACTAATTAATATTTTTAAAATTGTAATAATTATAATAATAACAGCAAAAATTAAATAAATAATATTTCATATTCAATTATAAAACTAATTAAAACTATAAAAATGTTTAAAGCTAAAAAATATTGTAAGGTGCAATTTTCATTTTGTTATTTGTGGGTAGGCTGTCTGTAACAACTATACCTTCGAGACATCTAACACCTCATTCTCTTCCGTGACCATGATTGCTGTAAGGCATTCGAAACGTCGGGAACCAAAAATCCAAATAAATCCGCGAAAAAATCCGAAAAGATAGTTTTATTTAAAACTAACATATAATAGTCGTAGTAGCGTGATGGTAGATAGCTTTATGACATCTGTACATATAATAAAATTATAACTAAGACGAATCTGTACATTAAATATTTTTTGGAAAATCTTATTGAAACAAACATTATTATCGATAGAGAGGCCGAATCTATAGTTTTTAGAATTTTTGTCTGTCTGTCTGTTACTGCATCACAGAAAAACCACTGGAGGGATTTTGATGAAATTTGGTATGGTGATAGTGATACTTTTTACCGCAGGAAAATGTTTCATTTCTGAGAAAAATACTAAAACTGCAATGTAAGAGTATACTAATAAATTATAAATAAATAAACTAATATGTAAAACCTAAGAATTTGGTTCCTCAGTAAACGGGCTATAAAATACAAACAGAACTTTTTAAATCAAATTAGTAGTCCAAAAGAGTAGGGCGTTTAAGTAAATAAGTAAACAGACAGACAAACAAACTCTTCAGCTTTATAGATACATAGATACGTACATACATGTGATGATGTTCTCCTAGCCGATTCCGGCCACGGCGGCCAATCTCAATGAGATTAGCCAACTGCGCAGGAGATATTATAGTGCTCAAGTGTACGCGCAGACACAAGTGCACTCTCTATTCCTATCACTCTCATACTCCGGTGGGACGACCACTCGACACGACCGGTGAGAGTTAAGGCGCAGGACCGACGGCTTTACGTGCTCTCCGAGGCACGGGGGTGAAACACCGCTAACTTCCCAACTCCGGGCTGTTACTGAGACTTACTATACAGGAAGACTCAATAATTAAACTTTGCCCGACCCGGGACTCGAACCCAGGACCTCCGGGTGTGCAGCCGCACATGCTAGCCACTACACCACCGAGGCAGTACACTAAATAATATATATATATATATATATATATAATACATGTAATGATTATATGTAAGCTTTTTGGACCAAAATATTAGGAGATTTGATTTTAAATAACTTTGTCTCAACGACCGCGGACACGCTGGCGTTACAGTTAACAATAGATTTCTTAGAAATTTAATTAATTTCTTAGAAATTTACCTGGAGTTTTTAAATTGTAGAGCTGTGGATTAACTGTTGCATTTATTATAGCTATCTCACTTGGGCTCTAGTGTAGTAAAGCGACTAAAGCACTTTCTCCAGCAGATATAGAGATATTATCGTCTTACGCGAAGTTTAGATATGAAGGAAGAAGTTATTAGCTTTTGCAATTGTTAATATCGGCATAGAATTCCGAATAAAAGAGTGTGGGGAAGAGTATTGGAATAGGAGAGTATTATATGATCTGTGGTATTGGTAAACGCGTACAGCTCTTGGCAGTGTACGTGATCTTTCTCCTATGTTTGGCTGGTCTAGTATACCGTGTATATGTTCACGCATACGTTTTTGTGTTAAATCTTAATTTTTGTCACGTAAATTAGACTGGTCGCAAAAACCGGCATTGGCCAAGGAAGTATACAAATACAATGACATACAAAATAATGATTGTAACACGAAGTCTTCTTCTTCTCCCTTCCCATTTCCCAAAACACTTGAGGTCGGCGCAGTACATCTTCAGTGTACTGCTGATAGGATTTGGCAAAAGTTTTACGACCGGCCGCCTGCCTGACGTCAACCCTCCTTGGGAATGCTATTGTCAATTAATGTGATTGTAAATTAATTATTTTAATTTAATGTGATTGTAACACGAAGTAACTAGTAAAATATAAAGTGAAAAGTGAAAAAACGAGAATTTTACCATAATTTTTTTTAAATATTCTAATCAGGTAACAGTTTTTTAATATCGTTGTTGAATGAAGTGTTTTTCCAAGGACCAAGTATCTGAATCATTAGCATATCAGTCCTAATCATAGTTGAGTGAGTGGATATTGAGGGTATCGATAATTTTTTTTAAATAAAACTTATAACTAATGTCTTATTTGTTACACAGATGACAGATGATTCCAGTATAGGTTCGAAGGTGGACTTTCGAATACTTGTAGAGCAGGCGAAGTTTAGCAAAAGTATAAGCTTGGCTAAGTACGCCTCCATCTTCCAAGCAGAGGGATACGCCATTTTAGAATGTGCAGATGCCAATTTCTGAAAGCAAAATTATCGTCGACATCGAAATAAACGGTAATGTTTTTAACTTGGACATACATTTGTGTGATGAACACGAATATGTGTACTCCAGTCACGGGTGTTTATATTATAATATGTATGTATTTAAAGTTATATATGTGTAGTGTATCAACTATCTAGTAACAAGCCGTCGCTGTCGTAGCCTACCATGGAACTAGACGGTGCTGTGTGTTAATGTTCCAACATATTTATGTATTTATTATTATTATTATTTATGTAGGAGATAATTCTGAAGCTAGTTGTATGATGATGATATCAAAGTTCATTATTATTTTTGTTTATTTATTCTCTATTTTTTTATATCGTTTTGTTTCTCTTAAAATTTACATATCTTTTACTTTTCGTTTTCATCCATTTTTTTTTTATTTTCATTAATTTTACAATTTTATGCTTAAATCCACTGTATAGTTAAACATAAAATAAATAAATTATAACATAAAAACTATCTCTTCACATTCCTTATACACGTGAATTTTTAATTAATTTGCCTTGTATCAAAAGCGATAAAATGCAAATTAAAAAAAAAAACTTGAAGACCAAGAAATTATAAAACTCTTTGGAAGTAGGTTATCGGAAACAGTTCTTTCGCCAATGACAAATATTTAATGGTTAATAATAATTAATTTTTAACAAGAGAATATTGTATATTTTACCTTGAAAAATAAAATGTCTATGACATACGTCTATAACAACCATAGTCTCAGAAATGGCCGGAAAGAAGAATCTGGATGCGGCGAGAAGCATTTACTTGTAATTCCGAAAAGGGTTCCCACTGAATAGAGGGTTCGAGAAAGGGACTTTTACCAGGTAGACGGTATAGGTGATAAAGAGGTATTGCGGCCGTTACCGTAAAACGCGCGCGGCCAAATCGTAGTAAGTTTACTATTATAAGTTTTACACTTTGTATGTGTAATGCTGTACGGCTGTACTGAGTTGGATGAAATTTGGTACGCATAGATTATAACTTAAAGTAACACATAGGCAAGTAATAAGGAATCTGGGGACGCCTAAATCGCTAGTTATAAAATAAATATCTCCTCCTCTGTCAAGACTCAGAGGGCAAAACTAAAAAAAACATACCCAGTTTATTACAATAATAGAAATAATACATAAACAAATGAAAATTCACGTCGATACATAATTAGAGGCGATAAGCCGTAAGCGTCCCTAGCCGTCAGTACTTGTTGCAACGTCGTCCTCACCGCGCGTCCGACCAATGCCTAGATATCGCACACGAGTTAAACTCAAGTGATTAAGCTCAAAGCTTGCGACTAAACCAAATGGGATAAAACTATAGTGCATGCACAGTGTATCTAAGTGATGTCATATAGTGTGATATTAGATTAAGTTAGACTAAGTCAGACTTTTGTGTTTTGCAATGGAAGAGCAAGCAGGTATGTAGACATTTTTTTATAATTGGTTCAATTATTATATATTGTTATTTAATTATATGTTATTGTTGTAAATAATAAGTATCTTAAATTTTTTGTTGGAAGACTTTATATGCAATTACGTATATCATGGAGGTCTGATTTATTTAGCGGATATATTCTTTAATTATATATGAAAACAATATATTTTTAAAAGCTATTTAAATTATGAAATAAAATAGATTAAATCAGTAAAACTATGATATGAACTTAGTTACTTAATTCGTAATTTCAATTTTGAGATGAAACTCATTTACAGCTGAAGCTTTCAGATGATGGAAGTTAGCTATCAACAGGTTTCTTAGCTTGTAATTTGTTATTACAAAGTTTTAGCTTTTTAATGAACTACATGTAATTATTATTTAAAACAAAAAAAAAACAATACTTTTAATTCGATAATAATTAATAAGAAGGTGTAATATATGTATGTATTAATATATAATAGGAAAACTATTAAAAAAACAATTTCACTTAAAACTAGGTATATCTTAAAACAAATTAAATATAACTACTGTGAAAAGAATAGCCCTTTTATAAAGTGACTAGGCCGATTTGAAGGATTAATGATATTAGAAGCTTTATTCAATTATTTTCTAAAAGCAATAAAATTGTAATATCTTACCCACTGAGAGGTACGCTAAGTTTTCGTTTCAGTTTAGTAGTCCTTTAGCGTAGACTAAAGGTTCGATTCTCGGTTAGTGGAAGACAGTAGGCATTAATTAAATATACTAAACACCATTAAAGATAATAAGACAATATATAGCGTAAAATACTAAAATTGGACTAGAAATTTTCTTTAACCATTTTGTCATACAATTATATGTAAGTAAAAGAGACTAATTAGATTTGTTAAAATACTTCAAATTTCATGGATTTTCCTGATTTTCTCGACCTACCATAATACAATATAGTTTAAAGTAGCAAAATCGGTCAAGCTCTCTGCGAGAAATGGGTGAACATACATTAAAACAATACTTTCAGACGAATATAGAACATCCTCCTTTTTGAAAGTCGAATATACGGATGTTATATGTAGAAGCCACCGCAGGTACGATGTCCATATAGAAAGAACAACATTATAATTCAATATAGAGATTATTCAAATATGAAAAAAAATCACATGCATTTATAGTAAACATTCAAACTACGATAATTGCAATATTTTTTTTTGTAAGTGAACATATTTTATGGATCATAGATAAGTTGAAAATGCCCAAAATCCAATATAAATGAAGCAATGAAATTAGTTTTTACTTCTTTTATTTCGGTCTTGATAGTTACTGACAAATATAAGCGTCTTTATAAAACTTTTGTATGTACTTGTTTTAATTAGTGTGTTTCTTTTTAACCGACTTCCAAAAAGGAGGAGGTTCTAAATTCGTCGGAATCTTTTTTTTTATGTATGTTCATCGATTACTCGAAGGCGCCTGAACCGATTTGGACACAGCCGACAATATTCTAAGATATGAATATCTAATAGGTAAATAAGTATTTTACGTATCGAAATATATTAGATTGCTTTGTATCGGCTGGCACTGACTTCGAAAATATCTGATTAAGTATCTATTCTAAATGAAAACCCCAGTTTAGTTATTTTTACATTTTAGTGCCTGGAAGACGGGTTTTTTTTAAGTTTTTATATTGTTAGCAGTTTCTTGTTTGTTTTCTATTTCACTTAATTTGTAACAAAAACACCATCTTCACAATCGCTTCAAAGTAATTATTTCACACTAAGGAGTTAGAGGCTTATAACGTCATATTTATTTAAAAAAATATGAAAGATCCACAATTAGCAATTATCGAGTGACACCTAAAAATAATATAGACAAGGAAAATTGAGTGTTTTCTCATTTTTAAACGCAGTCAAAAATACCAGCAAGATGTCTTATTTTTTATCACGCTAAAGTAGAAACTTAAAACCAATAACTTTAAATTTATACTACAATAATACTTTTTAGATTTACGCGAATATTTGATATTTCAAATAAAACTATCTTTTCGAGTATTTCGTGGATTTATTTTGATTTTTGGTTTGATTTGGTTTGATATTTGGAACCAAAAATCAAAATAAATCCGCGAAATGATCCGAAAAGATAGTTCTATAGGTAGGCACTACAATAATTATAAAAGAGAACTTGTATTTGTTAGTTTGTTCTATACGCAGTGTCTTCTTGACGTGACTTTCCACATAGAACTAGCGCCCTAGATAACAGCGTGTATTCGTGATTTTAATTTTTTTCGTCATTCCCTAAATGAAGAAATGAATTTTTTATCTCTTTGAAGTACTTTGATGATGAATTAGTATATTTTTATAAAGATCAATATTTTGTACCTGTTTCAAATAAGCATCTAAACATTACGTTGGCCAGAAATACTTTTAGTTAAGTCAGTCAGTTAAGATACATGTTGTTACAACCTTTTTCATTACTATTAAAATTACTAGTGTAAATACTACACATTATTTTCACTTAGATTAATTCACTTACTTGGTCAGCGCATGTCGATAAAGCAATAAATCAATGTTTTTCTGCTGACTTTATTCACTAATATAATTTTAAATAAACCATATTATTTCTAGAGAAATGCATATCATACAGCCAAGACTACATCGAAATTTGTTTCGTATTTCTCGAATTAGCGTACACATACGCATAAACAGTCTCTCGTCGGGGACTTCTTTTTACACGTGTAAAGATTTGTTGGTGGGTTGGATTATTGTAGAAATTACATCTCGCTATATATTATATCTAATTGAAGTTAAGAATGAACGATAGGGATAAATAATTAAAGATTTATTCAGCCATTACTAATATCCCATTGCCGGGCACGGGCCTCCCTTCAAAGCGAAGGGGATCAGGCTTTAGTCCACCAAAGGCTGTTTAGTGGACTTTACGTGTCTTTAGAAAACTTGCTTGTCACTCTCAGACATGCACGTTTCTTTACTATGTTTTCCTTTATCGTAAGACGTTAATCATATTAAAATGATTCGCACAAGAGAACACAGAGGCGCGTGACCTGGGATTTGAACCTGTTTCTCTTGGTTTCCTAAGCGAGCATATTACCACTGTGCTTCACTTTATGTACATATTCGTATATTTTCATTCTTATCATAGTCTGTTATATTATTTTGTTTTTTCGACCTTGATCACTTATTTCTTGTTAGGTGTCCAAGTTTAGTGAACGGCGTTTATTTATAGCGGAGTATATTTGATAAACACATTGTTTCGTTTCTTTCTTTACAAAGTATTCACTGTGCCCGTTTTAATAGAATTTGACAGGGACTAATTGAGATGTGGAAGTAGTAATTAGTCAAACATTAAATTATTACATTTTTTATTACCGAATATCGTGAGTTTACCACTAGTTTTTAAAGAAAAAGCTTGAGAATAATCGGCGATAGAAACTCGGTAAATTTTCTACTTTAATTGATACTTTCATGTAAAGTTAAACGGAAATTTGAAATGAATTATTACATTAAAACTTTCAAAAAATCAATATTATCGACCCTATTTTAAAGATTCTCAATTTTTTAAATATAAGGTACTCCATTAGCTACAGTACCAAATTTAGAACCATTTGTTCTTAAAACAAAGCAAATATATCAGTCAAGTTATTCATCTTTTCGCCAATGGTCTTAGGTTTGAGTCTGGATTGTAACAAAATAGTTATTACATACCACAAAACACTGTGTGAGCTATTCTATATGTAATATTCTACAATTATTTTGTTTTATAACTTGTAGTAAATGTAGTAAGTTCTAGGTCACAATTGCAAGCTATAAAAATAAGTGTTAGTCCAATAAATCTTCATTAAGAGTAAAGTTATCTCAAAGTCAGCAATAACGCGCAGCTGCCTGCAACAATAAGTGGACGTGACATGATCGATTGATTTCTTATTTAAAATATATGTTTTAATATACAATGTATGCGATCTGGCTATTTGGTCTGATATATAGGTAATGTACGCACGTTTGAAGGAATTGGAATGCTATTTATCATATTTTTGGATTAAATATTTACATTCGAAGAGGTTAAAATACAAATGTACTCGTACATCACAAGTAGCAGTTACATAAGCCCTTTACAATATCCTTTTCTTGCCTTAACAAATTAATGATAACGAAGTTAGAACTTAAAATTTAGTATTCGCATACGATTTCTATTGCAAAATTGGCTGGACTGATATTGATAATATTTAGTATCTACACAGATATGACTTGGAACAGTACATATGTTACATACATAGATATACTCTTAGTAATAAAATTTACCTGAAGGTGCCGCAGATTTTGTCAAAATATGAATATCTAGATAAAAACAAATCTGTGTCACGGGAATAGTACATTTTTCCGGGACGATATATTTTAGCCTATGGCTTTCCTCGATAAACGGGCTATCTGTGCAACAAGTATTTTTCAAATCGGATTAGTAATTCCCGAGATTAGCGTGTTCAAACAAATAAACAAACAAACAAACTCTGCCTCTTTATAATATTAGACAGATTACATACATACATATTATATTAAAAAGTCGTTTTTGTATCAAGTCTCAAAATGCACCTATGGACGTATCCGAGCGAAGCAGGGTAAGTCACTAGTATTCAGCTATTTTAAAGGGATGTATGATTCTGAATAAGGAGAATAATAAAGAGGCACAATAAAAGCTCTGGTAATAGCTTTGACATTTGAACTCCATAAGCTGACGTCACGACGCTCCCTTAGAATAACTTAGTATCCAGACTTGGATAAGTTACTTATCAATAAAGAAAATGTCATATGCCATATGTCCGGTACTGTAGGTAATAATCATTTAGTCGTATTAAAATAAATTAATTATGTGGTCAGTCTATAATTTATTATATAAACTATCGACTCAGCCTCGTTACGTTTTAACGGTTAGTATGGAATATATAATAGACTATTATACCTATATTATATACATACGTGTACACATAGGCATGAGTTG